CACATAAAAAAAAGAAAAAAACAACCCAGAAAAACCCCCCAAAAAGGGTAAAAAAAAATTATGAATTAGAAAGAAGGAAAGAAGATACGGAGCAGAAAGGAATACCTTTTCCTGAGTGATTTTTTAAACATCACAACTGCAAAAAGAACTGATAATCCCACCATGCTGAGGCTCAGTCCCAGGAAAACTCGGATGTCATCATCTGCAGGAGGATGGAGAGGGAGGAGGTCGTGGCCTCAGATTCCCACTCACCAGTTCCCAGCCCAGCTGCCAGAAATGCTGATGTGAATTCCTCAGCCCGGGCTGGTTTTGCTTTTGGTTTAAGAGCTGCAACAGAGCGTGACCTTCACCAGAGGATGTGAGAGCAGAGCATCCCCAAACGGGTGGGAAATGCAGAAACAAGCCCCTGGTTCCACCTGTAGGATGCAATCAGCCTCTTGCCTAGGTTAATTCCATATTTTCCTGGTTTGGGTTTGATGTTTCCCTTGGGCTGGAGGTGCTGTTTTAACCCCGTTAGAAAGCAAAACTCAAAGCTCGCATTCTGCGGGTGCTGCTCACCCCTGAGAGCACCTGGGGAAAAATCTCATTTATGGGCTCTGGGCTCTGCAGAGCGTCCAGGAGCTCTCAGCTCCCCCTGGCAGGAGGTGCTGGGGTTGAAGCCCACTGGTGGCAGGGAAATCCTGGCTCAGGCAGGCTCAGCTGCCTCCTTACCCTGGGACATCTCGCTGTAGCTGCTGCCCAGGAGCGGCTCCTCCGCAGGGGCTGCAACAGAGAGGGACAAAAAGTGGCTGTGCTGAGTCTGGAGGTGACACAAAACCTGGCTTGGCTCTTTAGAAAAATAACACCGGTGTAAGGAGAACACTTCAGCTCCCTGGAGCAATGAGTAACTCCTGCTCTGCCTCTCCGCAGCGTCCCCAAAATTCCGTGAGACGTGGATCGGCGCCTGTCCCCACCCACGGAGCATCTTCCCCTCGGCACCCAGGACAAGGATGGAGTCACCCTGGGGTGCTCCGTGGTTTCCCACCAGCGCTCCCGGGGCCTCCTGGGACTCCCACTCCAGGTAGGAGGGTTTTGCTTTCTCTGTCACGTTTTATTGGGAGCCCTGCGTGTGCAGCCTCGCTTTTCTGCCACAGAAAGGGACAACGGCTCCACCGGGGCATCTGCTGGTGGAAAAGGAGCTTTTGGGGTGTTTTAGGTCTGTGCAGGGGAGCAAAGACCAGCTCCAGATGGGTTTTACACAAATACATTGGTTAAACCCTC